TCGACACAGGTACTGTACACAGGTAAGGTGAGGACTGGGGATCGAGCCTTGGGATCTGCATTCGCTACTGCTAATAGGTGAAAACCGTTTCAGAAATTGTAAAATAGGAAAAAAATACCCGTTTTTGTAATATTTCCTGGCAAATATTGCTTCACAACAACGACAGTTGCCGAAAGGGATATCTCTGCGCTCAAAAAAAGGTATTTCTGCAATTCCAAGAAAGTTGGGTATTGTTGCAATCAAAAAGGTATTTCAGATTCCTCAAAATTCCTCCCCCCCGCCCCGAAAAAAAAAAAGAAGAAGGTTATTTGAACTTATTTTCACATAAATTCAGACTATTAATTATATTAAAACAAAACAAAAAACAATTCAGACTAGTTCTGAATGAAACTTCGTTACGAAGTTATATTTGCCGTGCTACGTCAGAAAACGGATATTTCATAAATAGTATATTAGTATTATTAGATTAATTTAGTTCGTTATTTTTAAAAAAATACTATTTTTCTGCAGCTCCCCCCTCAAATAAAGCCTGCGCTACACAGGAGTTTGAAACTCCACAGGTGCACATAGACGCACATGCGGTCAGGTGTGCGCTATCCCTGGCTGAACGGACAAATGTGGACGTGGTTTTCTTCTTTTTCTTTTTTAAAGTTTTTTTCTTTATGTTTCTTTTTTTCTGTCGACATTGGTTTTATTTTATGGCTGGATGAACTCCTCAATGTGGTAACCCATGAATCACCCAGGGATAGTGTGCACGTGCACGCACGTGCATGCATGTGTGCACGTGCATCCATGTGTGCACGTGCATGCATGTGTACAGCTGTGGAGCCACGTGCGCTTATTACTCACTCCGGTAAGTTATTCTTCATTCGAAGTTTCCTTCTATTTGTGTTGACGACTCCATAGACTATGCTTTACTAATTCTTTATGACCAACAAGGAGAATCACAGGCTGGATGTCTCAAATTTCAATCCACAACGCTCATTAAAAATAAAATAAAATAAAACAAAAAAAGGGATGGTATCAATGATAAGAACGGGAGATTGATCACCATAGAGGACGCTGTAAAGGATAAGAAGGGGAAACGGATGAGGCGGCTAAGATCTTTCGCACCTGATGACACGTGTCACAGGCAGACCCTTTCTGACCGCGGGATGCCATGTGTCAAACTTAATGTACCTGCGCATCAGACCAAAGAAACCACGATTACATCCCCATCTCTCTCTCTCTCTCTCTCACACACACACACACACACACACAGAGAGAGAGAGAGAGAGAGAGAGAGAGAGAGAGAGAGAGAGAGAGAGAGAGA